TAGTCCAATTCTAAAGCCATATAGTTTTGTGCTTAAGCAAAGTTAGGACACTACTATCTACAGAAGATGGCTTGTTGTGTTAGTAATATCTTTGATACACAGCTTAGTTAGGCTCCACTCTATTACCATTCTGAGTTGTTAGACCTCACAAAGTGCCAGTGCTTCCTGAAGTAAAATTTATTTCTGGTATAAGGAGTGTCAGTCTTTCATTGCTTTGTGGGTCTTTCAGGATGAGCCTAGTTTCTCTCTCTCTCTCTCTCTCTCTCTCTCTCTCTCTCTCTTTCTCTCTCTCTCTCTCTCTCTCTCTCACACACACACACACACACACACACACACACACACACACACACATTTTAAAAGGATTAAGTCCAAAGACAGAACAAGTTCAGAATCAGGCCAGAAAATGTGTTTGAAAACATAGCTGATTATTCTAAAAGTTATTTTTATTTTTAGTATGTGTCCATGTGTGGCTATGTACATGTAAGTATCTTTTCCTATGGATGCCAGAAGAGGACATCATATCCCTTGGAACTGGGGTTACAGATGGTTATGAACTTCCCAATGTGGAACTAAATTCAGATTTTTTGGAAGAGGAGTGTGTGCTGTTGACTACTGAGCCATCTTTCTAGCATTGTGTGGCTAATATCCACTGTGGAAAGTTGCCTTATTTAATGAAAATTCTGACATAAAAATTTTTGTGAAATACTTTATGTTAAAAATGACCATCTTTATTTCTACTTAAGTAAACAATGTGGGTAAAATACACAAGTTCATAAAAACTTGGTAAGGGAAAGTAAAATAGACCTACCCATAGGCAGTAGGCCATAACACAAGCTGAGCTGTCCTAAACCCTCACTGTAGGTTTGGGTTTGGCTTCATTATTAATTGAGTTCTGCCTGGCTCCAGCAGCAGAGGCCAAAGCACTAAAGCTAACCACATGGGACAGGGATGTGCAACAGGGCAGGGACACAAGCACCCCAAGCTCTCCTGGCTTTTGAAAAATAGGAATTACACCAAGAACTGGAGGGCACTGAAATATTAGCTTGACCCTTCTGTGGCTGGTTGAGAGGTCAAGTTACTCTCACCCTGAACTTGGGATGTCCTCTGGTTAGGACACAAAGGGAGAAATTCTGGAAGGAAATGTGGGAATTTTTGGAAAAAAGTAAGGATCTGTGTGGGACAAGGGCAATTTATCCCAGCACAGTGGTGAGCACCTGCCACCCCAGTATTGGGAGGGTAGAGAGAGGGGGGGGGGTTCAGAAATTCAAGGCCTCCTTCATCTGCCTGGCAAGCTCAAGGTCAACATGGACAATAGAAGACCCCATCATACTAAATAAAACACCCCAAACTCCTGGACTAGAGAGATGATTCAGTGGCTAAGAGTACTGGCTTCTCTTACAGAGGACTCAAGATGGTGGTTCACAACTATCTCTAACTCCAGTGTCAGGAAATCTGAAGCCTTCTGACCAACAGGGCACTAAGCACATGTGTGGTACAATACACAAAATCTATACACTTTACAAATAAATCTTTAATCCCCCCCACACAAAAGAACAACTCTCATGATTGCAAATGAATAATGTAAATTTAAAAATTTTAATAGAGAAATTTTGGATTTTATAAGGTAAATGTGCTTATTTCCTATCAGAACCTATTGGAAACACAAGCTATAAGACCCTGGACTGTGTAATTCCCTGCCACCTGCTGGAGGGTAAAGGAACTCAGATGAGACTCTTATAACATTGGAAACTGGTTAATGCATGAATTTCCCATCATTGATCTTAGGACAGAGAGGGAGAGAGGAGAGAGGAGAGAGAGAAGGCTTGGGAAGATGGGATGATGCCTTTTGTGGATCCAGAGTGGGCTAAAGTAGAGGCAGGGTGGGATGCTGGCTTCGGCATCCAGCAGAGGCAATGGGTGAACAATTTGCCCATTCGTTGTGAATCTGTAGGAGATGACAGAATCCAGCCTCACTGAGATATGATGTTTATGGCTCTGATGTTTGTACTCTGCAAGGTTATATCAGGCTTGTCTTTGAATTCTTCCTAAGGGGTGACATTAGGGACATGGGTATGGAAGCTATCCAGCCCTGTACTGTGACTCCAGCTGTGAGGTGCTGGGCAGTTGACTCAACCTCTCTGGGCTCATTTAACACACTGATAAGAATGCACAAGGCTTAACACTTAAACTGCAGGGGCCAAGATACATAAAACACAATCAGTATATGATGGTGATCATTACAACTATTTTTATTTAAGAAACACTCAAAGCAAAGCCTTGGGAGAGGCTTGTGAAAGTGCTGGCTTTGTAAGCCAAAGAACCTTAGCTAGATCCCTGGAACTCTGTAATAAAGCTGGGCATGGTGGTACAGGATTGTAATACCAGTGCTTGAGGAGGAGTGGGGATGGGCAGATCTCTGGGGTTCATTGCCTACTTGGTAAGTCATTGAGAGACCCTGTCTCAAGAAAAAAAAAAAACTCAAGGTGGACAGTGGCTGAAATTGACTCCTGGCTTCCACATGCATGCTCACACATGTACATATGCACTCTCTCACACACATCTACTCCCAACATGCACAAACACATGCACGTGCACTCACACAACCCCCCCACACACATACACACACACACACACACACACACACACACACACAAACCAATGCCCAAAGTTGCTCTCTGGTGTTGGGCTCATGCAGAAAGTGAATGATGGCAAGGCTGTCAGTGAATAAGCCCAGAGCCCAGCCTTCTCCACTGCCTCTAGATTTCCCAGCTGCTTTACCTAACACTCAGACAAAATTCTTGGAAGCAATTTCTCCTAAATCCTCCCAGATGCAGTAAAATCTTAATATGTCAGGTATAAACTGTGTGTAATTTATGTAAGGCAGAATGAAATATCTAGCATGTTCCACACACTCACTGCTCCCAGAGCAGGGGATGAGTCTCATGGCATCACATTATCCTTGCGTGCCAACCATGACCTTTGAGGATGTCTGTCAGCTTTAAGATGAGTAGGATGACTCTTGTTCTTGAGCAATACCTGAAGTTCTGCTGAGTATGCTTTAATGAAAAATTCCTGTGAATGCTTCACTTTTTAAAGAGTTATTGTTTTAAATTATGCACGTGTGTGTGTGTGTATGTGTGTGTGTGTGTGTGTGTGTGTGTCACACGAACACAGGTGCACAGAAGCATGGACAGGAAGTTTGGTACTCTGGAACCGAAATTGCAGGCAGTTGTGGGTTGCCCGATGTAGGTGCTGGGAACTGAATTCCAGTCCTCTGGGAAAGCAGCAAGTGCTCTTAACCACAAAACCATCTCCCCATGTCTTCCCCCACCATGGATACTTTCTTTTTTACCATGTACAGTAACATTCGGGTTCTTTGGTTTAATACTGTGACTAAACCAACAGCCCCTGCCAAACACATTTTCTTCTTTATCTCAGTGCAGGCACCATTTTGCCTGAAGTCCAAACAGAGTTACATCCGCCATGCTTATTTTCTATGGACATGCTGGCATCCTACTTAAGCTTAGTGGGAAGCAGACAGCGGTCCCAACACTTATGCTGTGGCCAAAGCTCTCTTCCACATCAGTGCGGCTTAGCAGCTCTTGCTGTTTATTGAAGTTTGCCTGGGAAATATTGTGTCTCAACCTTACCATTCTCAGAAGCTGCAGGACCAGGCTGATAGCACAGGTCTATCTCTTCCAGGACAAGCCCTGAGTGTTTATCCTTCTCTGAGCATTGTGGTGGAGAAAGAAAGAGAGAGAGAGAGAGAGAGAGAGAGAGAGAGAGAGAGAGAGAGAGAGAGAGAGAAAGCAAGGGATGGAATGCAGGAGACAAAGGGAGCCCAGGACCAAGAAGCCCAGAATCAAGTAATGGAGACTCAGGGATGGCAGGGGCAGAGGAATGAGCAGGTAGGGAAGAGAGAGAAAGGGTAAACATACAAATAACACAGTCACATCTGTGGACTTTCTAAGGTCGGTACAGCATGGAACTGGCTCTTAATCTGGGCCAACAATAGCTTCACCAAACTTTACTGGTGTTCTAGTCTGTGGAGCTCAACAGCTAGTAATATAACTATATTATCACTATATAATAAAATGTGCCTTCCCGTAGTTGAACACCTGCCAATACTCCTGCTCATTGTTCCCCTTTCAAGTGTGCCCTTGTATTCTAAGCACTGTACTTTATATTTTTCACATATGGTCTCATGTAGTACAGGTTGATTGCAAAACTCAGCATGACCCTGAACTCCTGATGCTCTTGCCTCCACAACTCAAGTGTTGGGATTACAGGTATGTGTCACTATGCCAGGTTTTATGCAGTGCTGGGGCTTAATTCATGCTAGGCAAGTGCTTTGCTAGTCGAGCTATATTCCCAGATTATGTACTTGTGAGAGCCCAGGTAGGCTTAGCAACATAATTCAAAGTCATGAAACAACATGGTTGGGCCAACCAAAAGCACCGAGGACTTGCTTCTGGGAACACAAGGATACCAGTGAAGAGCATAAGCCACAAACATGCGGTACTCTTGGACTGCTGGGCAGAGCCAGCTCTTTGTATCTATGACCAAGACTGACTCATTTCTCTGGTTCCTCTCCCAAGGTATTGCTGGATCTATGGCCACAGTAGTCCCCTCACCACCATGAAGATTTGTTTCTGATGTCATGTGGGGAATTAGGGCATTTTCTTCCTATTAGTGAGGATACAACCAAGAGTCTGCCCAGGTGAGCTGGGTACCATTCTGCATGGGCACCCCATGTGGAGGTACAGGCGATCTTACTCCACAAAATCAGAGCAGGGAGTGGGCAGCATTGCTCTAGGGGAGGAGGCTTCCCAGAGATGCCAGTGGTTGGGCTGAGTAATCTCTGCTAACTTGGTCCTGTTACCAGGCTTTTCCAATCGTGGTGCCCTGTTCCTGCCCTAAGGACTAGGCAGAGCCTCAGTGTCCTCTGTCTCACTTTGTTCTGCAGATTTCCAAGGGAGTGAAAAAGAAAGCCATCTTACCCATGAGGAATTTTGCTCAGGACATAATATCCAGTGTGGGAGTGTTGATAAACCTGCAAGAGAGGAGAGAAAAAGCCAGCACTGAGACAAAGGCTGTGATTCCTGGTTTTCAAATGTCTGAATCCTAACAAACTCCAGAGGCCACGGGCAGCTTATGCAGAGACCTGCAGGCAAAGCCTTATGGACAATTTGCATACCCTGTTTGCAGTACTTGCTCTGTTCCCAGTTTTATCAGGCGGCCAGAGACTTGATGTCATCTCCATGGCTACCTGGTTAGTGATTAAATTAGGAGTCTGTATTTCCATCCAAACTAAATACAGCACAGAGCTAATGGGGGCATGTGGTCATTGGAGCTCATTGGACATGGTCAGCAAACCCTGGCAGGACAAAAGATCTTTGAAATTCTTAAGTTCCTGTAGAATATGGCCAGGGGTCCCCTGGGACCTCAACCCTGGACCTGCAACGAGCCTGGAACTGGAGGAAAGACTGGGCACACTGTCCACCTTCAATTCAGTTTGATGGGCATTTTCTAGCTTCTGAGAGTGATCAACCAGGGCTCAGTGAAAGAGAGGAGTTAGGAACAGCTGGTGGTGCAAACAGAGGGAGCAGGAAACAAGCAGTTTTCAAACTTGTGGAGATCTCTCTTGATCTTTTGAGGCAGGAGAATATTTCCCAACCTGTAAACAGTGACGGAATTCAAGGGTATACCCATGGGAATGGGGGACCCAGCAGCTCAGGAAATGTCAACATGAACCCTCAGCTCTGGATAGCACCCCATCTTCTCTAGGGTACAGTGAGACTCTGCTTCACCCCCACTCTTGCACCCGGGGAACTTCTGAGGGCAGATGCCCTGTGCAGGGCGATGCCCAGCAGCAAACACACGAAGACAACTTCCTAGCGATAATGCCAGGCTTTGAGCTATGAGCTGATCAGGCCATGGCCATCTGCTGCAGCCTGTTCCTCACGGGTGCAGTGGCGGAAAGGGCAAGCCTACGAGAACTGGTTCTAAGAATGAATGTCTAACCCCCGTACACGCCCCAGGTTTCTGAGATCCAGAGAATGGTGGGCATTGTTCTCGTCCTACTCTGCCCAAGGACGCGTACAGACTCCAAGTTGTTGGATTTGAGGATGTCAGAGAGTGTGGTGGTGGTGGTACATTCCCTATTCATATAGCGGGTACCCTTAACCAAATGTCTCCTTCTACCCCACCCTCAGAGCTTCACATTCCTTCCCCAGAATTCTCCCCACTTCTCCTGTCCGGGAATCAGAGACAGCCTGGCTGAAGATCACTTACCAGCCGAGTGGTGTGAAAATGTCCCCCTTCCTGAGGCCTATAAGAACGAACCCCAATTTGCCTGATGGGCCTGAAATGTCATCAGAGTCTCTGCCATGCCATGTCTCTCTGTATGATGATGCAATGTCTTACTGTCCCACTTTAATCCCAAAGCAGGAACCTTGCAGTTAATAGGTAGGAGATACGCAGGGGAAGGAAGACAACTAATGCAGAGCACACTGCGTGGGGTTGAGGGTAAACTGTGCTGTTGCCAATGGAAGTGAGCCTCAAAAGGATGACAGGTGGGACTGGCTAATGCAGATTCTGACCTGGTATGGACCACTGAACCAACTTCCAGGGCATTACAGTGGACAAGGAGTTATTCAGAAAAACACGCAGATATAAAAGCAAACAGTGTTTAAATATCAACAATATTGTCCTTCTAGAGATCTTGAGATTCCTTAACCAGACACATGGGACCCAGGCTGGCCTTCTGGATGGTAGTGGGTAGGGAGATGCTGTCGTGTTTCCAAACAACTAGCCTCATTCAGCTCTTTATTACAAGTCCAAGTTCATTGTTGTCAACTGAAAAATCAAGGCTAGCAACAGATAAATATGCAAATTGATTTTTGTATACATAATACAATGTAGACTTTTTCCCCACTTAGGACCAATGGCAGAAACCCATCCCCTGGTTGACTCATCTTTGCAGTCCTCCTTCAATATGCCACCAAACATCAATGAAACTGTGCTCTGCAGAGGCCTTCTGCTGGAAGCAATGACAATAGAAAGACTAACGAAAAACAACCTGACAAAGACTAGGACAAGAAGAAAGCAATGGGAAAACTTTCCATTTTCAACTCTATGCTGTACTTGTGAGGAATATTACACATCGCTGGGAGCTGACATAAAATACCTGGGAAAGAGACAGATCAACTATTATATAACAGCAAAAGACATCTGGGTATGCTTTTATCACCTCATATCCACTGGACATTTCAACTCTAGGGACGGTGTCATAGGTCTGAGGCTCTTCTGAAAACACGTGAGACTAGAAAAAGTCCAAAGCAGGGGTTGAGAGAAAGCCCTCCACAGCTGTGCATCCTGCCTTCTTCCCAGGCTGTTCATGTCCTTGTCCTCGCCTTGGCAGCTGTTGTGCTGTTCTGCCAGAACTTTCTGTTGACTCTCAGCTAATTTTTCCTGAGAACACAACATTGTGTTTCTTGCTGGCTGACCGTCTTCTTTGTCTCCCACATACATCTCCCATAGCAAACACAACTTCCTAATACCCTGACTTAATTCATGACTTAAGAAACACCTTTCTGCATTCCTTACCTTGACCTTCATGACAATCTCTGTCTTAGTTACTTTTCAATGACTGTTGCAAAACACCATGGCTAAGGCAACTTATAAAAGAACATTTATTGGAGACTTAGAGTTTCAGGGTTATGACCATCATGGCAGGGCATGGCCGCAGGCAGGTAGGCATGGTAATCTTAACCATCTACAAGCCTGAGGCAGAGAGGTCAACCTGGAAATGGCATGGACTTTTGAAACCTCAAAGCCCACCTTCAATGACACATTTCCTTCAATGTGGCCATACCTCCTAATATTTCCCAAACAGTTCTACTCACTGGGACCAAACAATCAAATATGTGAGCCAATGGGGGCCACTCTGGCCACTTTTATCCAAACCACCCAGGCTTGTCATAGGAGCAGCCTTTCCTGGCTTCAGTTTTCCAATGAAGAAACTGAGTCTCAGAGCCACAAACTAAGTAGTGCAAGGTAGCATAATGTAGCATAATGTAGAAGGAGAAGAGCTCAGAGCTTCAGGTCTGCACACATACCTAAGGCTATTTCTACAACAATACCATGTTGGGTAGAGAGGCTGTCCCATCGGTCACACTGTCTCTGCCAGACACAACTGCCTTATGGAGGAACCAAGTTCTCTGTGTCTATCTTTCTTTAGACCAGGAAACTATTGCCAGACCTCCTCACCTACCTTGAAACCACCACTAAATCTACTGTGAAAGTACTCAGTAGCACCAATTTTCCTCTCAAGCTCTGAGATATGTATCTGAAACATTTTTGGTAAGATGGGCGAGTGAACACTGACCAATGCATTTGATAAATGTTCAATGGACATCTGCTGTGTGCAGAGCCCTGGAGAAAGGTGTGTCAATATCTGGATCAAGAAAGTGATAGAATGGGCCCCTTAATAAAGTGAGGAAGAGGAGATGAGACAGTACCGAGAACACTTTGTAAGACAGGTGGGTTTTGCACTACACACTCTGAGAGGTCAAAAGATCTTCTTGGTACCTCATTGTGTGCCATGATAAAAATGGCTTTAGTTGTTCTTTTTCAGAATTTATTCAGGAACTATACATCAAACCATGAAATCATTTTTTGAGGCCTTTATCATATTCAAAACTGTCTTTATACAGGTCATTAAGGGAAGGTACTCATCTGCTATGGCTGGTGTGCTTCTAACAGGGACAAAAGGGTGCAGTGATGGCTCAGTTGAGTAAAATACTTGCCATGCAAACCTGAGGACCTAGGTTTAAATCTTCAGAACTCTTGTTAAGCTGAATACCATACACCTATAATTCTAGCACCCCTATGGTGAGATAGGAGGCAGAGGCAGGAGAATTCCATGAAGATTGCAGATGGGCTATCTTGGCACACACAGCCATGAATAGTAAAGAGATCTTGTGTTAAACAAGGGGAAGGTAATGATTAGCATGCCAGGGTGTCCTATGACCTCCACAAAAGTGCTGTGGTACATGTACCCACACCACGCCCCCCCATACATACATGAGACATAGGTACAAAATGAAGGAGGATGACATGGAGAGTCACAGGGAGTACCTGGTAGGAAGAGGGAGGTCTCAATATTGCATAAAAAAGTGGAATGCCAAGAACTACCAGCCATCAGCCACCACTAGTAGCTGGAATATACCAAAAGGGTTGTTGTCCTTTATAGGGCTCACAGTGCTATGGCTCTACCCCCTGCATACCGCAGGGGGCTCCTACATCCCTAGGGGACAAGTGATGTTATCTTCCACAGCTTGTTTGTTGTCATGGGTCACTATTCACTTTTGCATATGAGTAAGACTGTAAGTAGCTGATCAAAGCTGGAGTTCACAGGCATCATTACTTAGTTGCTAAAATTCAGTTTTACTTAAAAGAACCAGATCACATTGGCCACTTTTGGAGGCAGTGACCTGATAAGGGATCTGCTGGTGCCCAGGCCAGCCTCCTTCCTTCCAATCCCACCACCCTGTGGGTTTGTGCTTTACATTCCCTTGACTTCTCTTCTGAATCTGACCTTCTTACAATGTAAGCACAAAAGAACTTTTAGAATTTCCTTTAAATCAGTTTTATAGACAGTAGAGCATTGTTTGCAGCAGACAATGCACTCAGTCCTTCACACTGGCAGGTGCCATACCCACAGATCCAACTGACTGCAGATAGAAAATACTTGACAATAATTTGTACATATGTTTAATGTATACAAGCAGTGTTTTCTCTTCTTATTGCCCCAAACAATGTCATAAAACACCAATTCATTCAACATCACACTAGGCATTGTAGGCAATTTTGGGATGGCTATTCTAATTTCATGTCTGTTGCTGTGATAAATTCCCTGACAAAAAACAACATTAAGGGAGGATGGGTTCATTTTACAATTCTATGGTATAGTCCATCACTGTGGAGAAGTCAAAGCAGGAACTTGAAGCAGCTAGTCACATCAAGTCAAGAGCAGAGAGAGAATGAACA